CGCAGTCATGTGTCTGTGCGTCCGCAGTCATGTGTCTGTGCGTCCGCAGTCATGTGTCTGTGCGTCCGCAGTCATATGTGTGGGCCTGCAGTCATGTGTGTGTGTGTGCCTCCTCTGTGCTTTCAGTCTGTGCAAGGGCGCCCATGCACACATGCTGGACGTGACAGTGTGACCGTGATCGCATCTGTATCTATGCAGTGTCAACAACTTTGGTCAGCTGGATGGAGTGAGATTTTTCCATTCGAGACAAGTTTGCATATATATGTAACTGTTTTATTACCTTGTAAACAGTCTGTAGACTTTGCAAACTGCCCCAGCACTTTTGATCTAGCTAATTTTAGGCTTATAATGAAATAATATAGATTTGCGTGAATGTGAGGAAGAAAGCGTGAGTGTGATGGCAGATGTGTGAGAGTCACTGTCTATGTGGCAGTGTGTTTGAATGGCCGACTGTATTACTGTAGTGTGTAAGGCAGAGGGAGAAAGTGCTTGTGGTATGGAAGTGTAACGGAGCAGCAGCAGATGGGAGCTCTGCACTCCATCTCTCCTACTCCACTTCCCAGTCCTCCCTCCACTCACACAGTCTCCTCTTTGACGTCCTCAGCAACGTTCTGACTCCTTATTGTAGACCAGAGTGTGGAGAATCTTCTCGGTAACTCTTCTGTCTACAGCTAACATCTGGATACCACATGGTATGGGAACTCACCGGCGCTCACCTCCTGATATCCTGCCTCCCTCTCCTGTCTCCCCGCGGGCTAAGATTTTAAAATGCTAAAAAGGATGAAGGTGTTTACAGTGAGGGTCAGTACGACCATCACTTTTTCAGGAATTCAGCTACTGGGTCACATGTCAGAAAAGGGGGGGGGGGGTGTTGGAGGTGGTGGTCATACCGGACGGCTCCCCCTGGGCACGGAGGAGGAGTCAGCGCTGTTACAGAACCTCTCCTTTGGCGCTGTTCGCCGGCCAGACACTGGGCTCACTGTTCACACGGCGACACAACGGAGTGTCTGTGAGTGTGTCTGTGGGTCCATGGGGGATGTCAGTGTGTTTGCTTTGCATTTGGCTATCCAAAGACCCCCCCGCCCCCCATGCCGGGGGCTGACGTGGCGAACATGGAGCAGCAACGGAGACCCCAGCCATGAGGGAAGGAAATGGGGAAGGAGAGGACTTCCACAAAGCACGATTCCTCATCGTGGGCGCAGTGCCCCACGCTGGCAAGGTAATGCACTGCGGGTGTCGGCAGCAGCTGGCAGCAAGCAGATACTGGAGATCCTCACTGTGGGCACAGTGGCCCACGCGGGAAGGGTAATGCACTGCAGGTGAGGGCAGCAGCTGGCAGTAGGTTGGTAGGGGAGATCCTCACTGTGGGTAAAGCGCTCCACACTAGCGGAGTAATGCACTGCAGGCATCGGCAGCAGTTGGCAGCAGGCAGGTAGGGAAATCCTCATTGCAGGCATAACGCCCCACGCTGGCAAGGAAAAGCACTGCGGGCATTGACAGCTGCTGGCGGGTACAGGAGATTCTCACTGCGGGCACAGTGCTCCATGTTGGCAGGGTAATGCACTGCAGGTATCGACAGCAGCTGGCAGCAGGCGGGTAGGGAAATCCTCACTGCAGGCACAGCGGGCCACGCTGGCAGGGTACAGCACTGCGGGCATTGACAGCAGCTGGCAGGTACGGGAGATCCTCACTGCGGGCACAGTGCTCCATGCTGGCAGGTTAATGCACTGCAGGTATCGACAGCAGCTAGCAGCAGGCGGGTATGGAAATCCTCACTGTGGGCACAGCACCCCGCGCTGGCAGGGTAATGCACTGCAGACATCAACAGCAGCTGGAAGCAGGCGGGTAAGGGAGATCCTCACTGCAAGCACAGCGCCCGACGCTGGCAGGGTAATGCACTGCAGACAGCAGCAGGCGGGTACAGGAGATCCTCACTGTGGGCACAGCACCCCACGCTGGCAGGGTAATGCACTGC